TGTGACGCACATTGGGAACTATGCCTTTCAAGATTGCAGCTCTTTGGCAAACTTGACGATCCCGAACTCAGTGACCCACATTGGGGATGGTGCCTTTTGGGGTTGCAGCCATTTGGCATCCTTGTCCATCCCGAACTCAGTGACCCAAATCGGGGATTATGCCTTTCATGCCTGCGATTCTTTAGTCTTGAGAGTGTTTGCTGTCTCCGTGACCAGGTTCGATATGTACAAACTACACGGGTGCAAACGAATCCTAGCCAAAGAATGTCACTGTCATGAATGCGAGTACAGCTGGTTTCTGAAAGGCTGGGTTTGTCCCCTGTCAAATGAACACCATCGCTAAGACCGTCTTTGTCGGAAAAAAACAAGCGGCGACGCGGCGCCACCCACACCGATCTGACCCTGAAAACTGGACCAGTCTGCTGCCCCTGAAGACTGGACCAGTCTGCTGGTCCAAATCTTCAGTCAAACCTTGAATCCTAACATATTTTTTTGTTTTCGATCCAGGTGACATGTCACCAACTTCAGTGAAATTCCTGACCTGAGGGATTGATGACCTGGGATGGATTCTCGACCCTTTTCACGTCACGGTTGGAGTATGTTTTTCCGCCTGGTTGGAGATGTAGTGTCCAGATGAGAGGTCTGGCGCCAGCAAACATGGGACAGTTGGTTCTGTGTTCCAAAAACCTCAGCAAACCTCATACCTGGAGTTGCATGACCTGGGCTCCTTCGTACCTCGGGGCGTCGTTCTTACCTTTCAGGGGCCAGCCGGCAGGAAAGTAGCTGTTTTTGCTTCCAGAATCATGTCCCAAGGTCGATCTTTCGAGTCCATAGACCCTGGAGTCTATAGGCATCTCTGTGGAGTTGAGGCATCGAAAGAGTCCTCCAGGTCGAGGGCAGGTGAAATGGCACTTCTGGGCAGTTACGGCTTCCACCCGCTCGCGCTAACTTGCGGGGTGGTTCATGGATGGACACCAAGAATCACCCGTTTCCCGAATGCCTAGCGAAGGGTTCTCGTTTAACTCTGGGGGTCTGGGGGTAGACTCGTGTGTCATAGCGTTCGCAACCGCCCGCTGCCGTTCGCAACCGTTTCATAGGAGGGCGCTACGGCGCTGACATTGGGCGAAGCTTGTGGAGAGGGTTTTGGATGGAAGCATGACGTGCCAGATTCGTGTGACATAGCGAGGAAACGTGTGGAAGCGTGAGAGGATGAAGTGTGGAAATTGATTTCACTGCGCAGGTGCAGCGTTTTGTGAGATCCGCAGCTTTTCTTTGCAGTCAGATGGGTCTTGGCGTTTAGAGGGTGGTTTTTTTTTGGCCCATCTGCTCCATCGGTGCACAGCCGTGGTCTCCCATGCTTTGCGCTGGGAGTGGTGGCTTGAACCGGTGCTTGAGTTGGAGCCTCTGCATCAGAAGATCCTCCACGTTGGTCGCTGTACTGCTCAGGTTCATGCGGCTTGGAAAAAATTGCGACCTCAGGTGCATTACGACGTGTCGCGGGTTTCCTCTCTTTAGATTGAGCTGCTTTTATAGTGAAGGCAGCATGTTTGCAGCGTTTTTGGCGCCCACATGTGCTCTGGTTGGGGCCCTGGTTCCACTTCCCACTGCCGTTCTTCTACTTACTTCTCATAGTGCTCATTACCTGTCCGTGTCTTTGTTTTTTCCTTTTCATCTACATCTCCACCACTCCGGCCATGTTTGGCGCAAGTGGGGAGATTGCTGCGGAGCACCGTCTGACGTGTGCCACCCCCAGCCGCCCGCCATAGGGCGTCCACCTAACAGAGCCTAACAGAGCCTTTGGGTGTTGCATGTGGCTGTGACGTTGGGGTTTGCGTTTCAGGTGACAAGTGTCAGCTAAAATGGCGATTTTGGTGGAAGGGAGTGTGCTCAGAACGTGTTGAAATCATTCCAAACGTGTGGTGCAAAATTGGCTGCAGACGTGAAGATGTCACGTCGTCACTTTTCGTGGTGGGCGCGTAATTTGTGCGTGTTGGAGGTGTCAAAGTTGAATTTTCGTAGCAGGCGCAGGGGTTCAATGACTTCGTCAGCGTCATGTTTGTGACCACATCACATGGGAAAGAGAAAAAACGTGGGCTCCAACTGTTACAGTGAAGTGCCGTTTGCCATGGCACTTGAAGCTCGGTTGTTTCGAGGGATGCCCAGTGGAAGCCTGGAGGTGTCCAGTCAACGACTATACTCAAAATTGTTACACTGAGACCCACAACGAGGAATTTCCTTGGCTTGGGGGGTTCCAAGAGCCTAGTCTTTGACTTCACTGGGCGCATGCAGAAGTCCAGAAGATGTTGTGTGGCTTCAGATGGTTTTAGTATTTTTTTGTATACGTTTTTGTTTTTTGGAATGTTGTGCTCGCCGTGTTGTTCCGACGTTTGTTCGGGTGAGTCTACAGTAGGAAGTGCTATCAATGGAGACCATTTTGCACCCATCGGGCCAAAACATTGGAGAGTCAGGTTCCATCTGGCTCCCTTGCTTCAAGTGAAAACTCTTGGCTTCGAGCCTTCCAAAGACCACCGTTTGAGAGGAAGGTTGATCATGATTGAAACATGTTTTTTTTGGTTTTTCTACGACATGGTCGTTCGGTGAAGCCGCTGAGTCGTGGGTCTTGGGGTCCAGGGAGAAGCCGCAGGAGAAGCCGCGTTCGATCAAGGGGGGGGCGCCGCGTTCGCATGAGGGTCAACGAAAAAAGGGTCAAAGATGTCCACCGCCTTTGAAATGGTGAAAGGTTGCTCCATGCAAATCAACAAAAATGCAGTATACATGCATAGAATCTAGATCAACATTATCCATTCTATAATATTATTCACTGAAGTTCATTGGCATATATAATGCCATATATTTTGTTGGAGACCGGGACAGGAAGGCTGGCAGACTTCATGACACGGCCATGACATGTGCGACGAACCATGAAGGACCAACGCCCCCCCCCTCCGTGACGACCCGACCCGCCGTGGCTGTTGGGCTCAGCGCGGGACCCGCCAGGGGGGCGCGTTGGGAACCGCGGTGGTGAGGAGGTGCGGAGCATAGGAGCAAAGGGGTGCGCAGTTGAAGGGGTGCACCGAAGAGGTGCCCTCTTTGGTCAAGATGAGGCCCCAACTGGGCCGGAAAGGAAGTGGGGGAAGTCGCGTTTGCCTTCGGGTCTCCGTTCAGCAGGACGTTCGGGCCGCCGACTGGATGGCCAGAGTGGAGATCCGGCAGGGCAGTCGCCATCCTTGGAGCCCCCAGTCCTTCCCGCTGTCCGTCCTTCGAGTCCCGCTGCCACAGGTCATGGAGCGATGGATCTACAAGGCGACGCGCGTCGGCGACGCGCGGACGCGCGGACGCGCCTTTTTGGGGGGCGAAGAGTGGCCACCGGAAAAGCGTGGCATCGGTTGAAAGACTTGCGCAGTTTCTGCGCAGATCCATCATAAAATCATAGTAGCAAGAATTGGAATTAGATATAATAAGATCAAGAAAAATTCAGGAATAGTGAATAACAATCAGGACGGTAATGATAAAGTAATACACCAATAAAACCTTTCACTGGTGTATTGGTTCCTTATAAACCAAGGAATGCCTCACCTTTCACTCCATGGCTGACGAACAAGGCCCGCCTTCTGTTCTTCCGGTGAGCCGAGACGCCTTCGCAGCTGGGAGGTCGGCGGCGTGAAACGGTGCGGACCCGTGCAGGTCTACTATCTCATGCTCATCGGGCAATTGTGT